TAATGAAACACGTATAACATGAAGATCTATCTGTGTGTGTGTTTATACATTAACTGTATAACTTGTTACAATTGTGTCTCTTTAAAAGACTGAAAATCTGTCTTGTCATGCAACAAAGTATCATTACCAAAGTTACTGTGTAACATCTGCACAGTGGATGGCAGCATTTCAAACTTTACAGTTTTTCTTTAACCAAAGCTAAACTGTGTTAGTTATGAAGGATTTAACAGTAATTTAAGGGAGGAATTGTACTTAAAGCAGCAAAATGCCTCAATTCAGATAATTCCATACAGTTTTATTCATATTGTGCCAGTTCACAACAGCTTTATATTATAAACTGAATATTAGTGAATCACAACTGTCGGACGGGTATAATCAAGCACATTAGCGTCACAGTTATGGGATCATTCGGGGTCTTCTGATCCAGCCGTAAATATAAGATATAAGATGTGCCTGTCTCCTGGACCCAAATTGGGAGCTGTTTCACAGGAGAGAGGCCTGATAGCTGACGACTGTGTCTCCCATTCGACTTTTGGAAACTCTAGTATAATAGTATGATATCATGAGGTCTTTAAGACATGATGATCATCCAGGGCATTGAGAGCTAAAGGGTTTTAAATGTAACTCTGGATTTAACAGTTAAAAGAGGCTAATATAAGAAAAATATGTAACTTTTTGATCAGAGTCCATTTCATGAAGCTTTCATGACAATATGAGTCTTTATGGCACTTTGAAATAAGGTATGACAGCTGTGAGATAATCAAAAGTAGATAAAAAGTTATGAAATTGATCAAAAGAAAAAAAAAACTTTGATGTTGGGAGGTAACCGTGTCATAAACACGTTTTTGTTCTGTCTTCTGTAGATCTTGGTGGGTGGTCTGGAGTACTCCCCGGGCATGCTCCACATCTACTCCGACAGTGCCTTGACGCTGCCTGCCATCATCGGGATCGGAGCAGGCGGAGGCGTGCTGCTCATCGCGATCATCGCAGTGTTGATCGCTTACAAGAGGAAGACCCGTGATGCCGACCGCACGCTGAAACGCCTCCAGCTGCAGATGGACAACCTGGAGAGCCGGGTGGCGCTAGAGTGCAAAGAGGGTGCGTTCTGCCTTCCTTCCTGACCTCCAGTCCTTCCTTCTGTGCTGATTTGTTTTAATGTTCTTCTTCCTCTCGCAGCCTTTGCGGAGCTGCAGACAGACATCCAAGAACTTACCAATGACATGGATGGAGTGAAGATTCCCTTCTTGGAATATCGGACATACACCATGAGGGTCATGTTCCCAGGGATAGAAGAACACCCCGTCCTCAAAGAGCTTGACGTATGTACAATACGGCAGGATGTTCGGATCTTTGAGTCTCTGGATCCACAGCTGCAATTTTTCCCTGATCATAATAACAGGGTGTGGCAGCAACTCAGCCCACAGGTGGAAAGATTTTCCTAAACTTAGTGAACTATAATTTCCAGAGATTAGTTTTTCTTCCCTCATCGTGGATTTATATTTAAATTATTTCTGTAGATTATTACTGTTTTTTTTAAGGTTTATTCCTATTTATTTCTATTTTTAAAAAAAGACAAACTCTCCTTCTTTCAGGCTTAAACATTTATATTTGTGATCTTTTATTTATATTTATTCTAATTTTATTTGGTTTAACCAGGTTTATTCAAACATTTTATGTTCATTCATATTTATTT